CATTTGTTTTAGTAATCATTTGACAAGCAAAGTCAATGGGGAAGCTGGCAGAAAAACTTGCCAGTCAGAATCACGTAATGACTGCAGTAAAAAAGGTCATAAAATTGGGTGCAGTCACATGATGTCTCACTTAACAACTGCACCCACTTAGCAATAAATGTTCTGGTCCTTATTATAATCATAAATTGAGGACCACCTGTAGTAATAGAAAATGAAACGAAACCGCTGTTAAACAGAGATAACACTTTGCCATGTATGGCTCGTAGTGCTAATAGCCATTAAATTAGAAAGTTGTAGTGGGATTCAGCATTAGATATTACGGTGCAATCAGAGGTGGTATTCAGCAGGTTCTAACCAGTTCTGGAGAACCAGTAGCAGAAATTTTGAGTAGTACGGAATACCACCTCTGATTGACCCCACCCCCATCTATTCTCTGTCTCCTGAGTCCCAGCTGATCGCGTGGATCTTCTTTTGTTGCCCTGCACAGGAGAATGGAGCTGGAAATCAGGTTAGTGGGGTGGGGAGAGAATGGAGTGGGTTGGGAATGGAGATTTTGCAGTATCCTTCTCCTGCCATGCCCACCAAGCCACACACCCCAAGCTACACCCACAGAATTGGTAGTAAAGAAAATTGAATCCTACCACTGGGTGCAATCCATGTTTATATTTTTGGCAAAAGGATTTGTAATTTACTACTGTTCTAAATCAGCTCCCTGTGCATCTCATAGCAGTTAAACTGTAACATAATTAAAATAATTAAGTAAAACAGATGAAAGAGTCAGAGAGAGTAGGAAGATTTTTGACAAGGGATCAAACATTTCAAAGATATGCTGAAAAATTAAAACACCTGGGTGGAAGGCAGGAGTTTGGAAATAAGAAAGAAAGGAAGTTTGAAAGTAGAAATTTAACACGTTCAACTAAAAGAGCTTGAAAATTGTTGCAAAATGCTTGGTGAGCCTTTCCATTTTCCAAATCTTTATTGCAGTTGCATTAACGGAATCTTGCAAATCTGAAATTACTGCTCTCTTCTCAAAGGTGTTTTTTTTCCAAAAGGCGACTGGACTGTTTTTTCATTACAGAAGAAGAGGGTGTTTAGCTTCTTATCCAAGAAGCTTCATCAGTTATGACTGATGTGAGTCACAAATGATCAAACTTCTTGGATGAGAAGCCAAACGTTGTCGTCTTCTTCTTCCATAAAGAAAAAACAGCCTTTTGAAAAAGCACCAGTATGACCTGTATGACTGAGAATCTCCATAGGCATATTGCTGTCTTTATTCACTTCTACTCTCCCAAATGCTAGGGAGGGTCTCTTCTGAGATGCTTTTTCCATCCCAATCTCTCCCTTGGAGTCAAATTTCGTTCATCAGATCATTGTCTAGTTTGCAGCTCTTTTTCCTGTCTTCATTCCTACTTACCATTACATAGCCTCACCCCTTTAAATTCTGATTCAGATCAGTGGAGTTACTCATAAGCAAAATTAGTGACACTGAGGAAATCAGAAGATTCAGGAAGTCAAAGGAGTATAAAGATTTATTGTAAGCTTAAGCTCTCTATAAGAATCTGAACTACTAACGGTCAAGGAAAATGAACAGGAATTAAGACAGCATTCAAAGTGGGCTGGATTTAGATCTCCATGAATCTCACAAGGATTCATTTTGGATGACACGTTTAGCGTCTCCCTCGGGCTTAGCCTGGTCATCTCCTACAACGCTGCTTGGCATGATAGAAAGTGGCTATCTTGGAAATACACAAATCAGTTCAAGCATTTTGTATATTTTATTAATATTAATAAATATGTAATGTGCCACCTTTATTCTGTACTCTTAAAAAAGTATACAGAAAAAGGAGCAATACAGAGATTTAGAGGTAAGAAGTCAAGACAATTTTTTTGAGTGTGTGAAATAATCAGCTGTAGTTTGCAGGTTTTAGATCACCTACATAAAGGCAAACGTCCATTTTTATTCTTCCTCTGTCATATTTTACCGTATAAATATTTCTTACAATCACTTTCCAGTTGGGTGGAATCAATGCCCTTTTAATCATGCTTCACTTGATTCATAATAATTGCCTCCAATGCTTTATTCACTCATAACATCTAGATGATATAGCTAGAAAATGCACTTTCCAATGTATCACAGATTAAATCTTCCAAGGCCAAAGGTAGACAGGTATACCTTAAGAATTAAGTACTGAATGCCTTCTGAGAAAACATAATTTCTGGACAGATTCTTATTGGAGAAACATTTACTTGCAGTCCTGATTGTTATCCTGGGCAGCACTCTTGGCTGTCATGAAAGTAATCTGTTGCCTTCCTGCCTTTTCATTTGTGTGTGTGTGTGTGTATGTTTACGTGTGTATATGTATGCGTTTATATGTATATGTATTTTTTTAGTCTAAAAAAAAAAGAAAAACTGAGGAACCAGCATAATTCTTTTTATTATTGCATGGTGAAACTTACTTAACTTAGATAAAAATGTGGATAGACAGATAGATATATAGATAGAGGGGGAGAGAGAGAGAGGAAGGGAGGGAGGCAGTTTTCATTTAGTAACTGTCTTGTTTAGTGGCCATTCACAGTTACAACAGTGATGAAAAAGTAACTTAACTACCAAACTTTGCATTTATAATTTTCATAGGTCTGTAAAGCAAAGCTAAGCTGAAGTGAGATCACAAGCACAGCTGCGGTATTACTTAGCAGCTGCTTTGCCTAACGACCAAATTGCTGGTCTTAGTTGTGGTTGCTACCTATAGATACAAAATTGTCATATTACAAAATTGGCATAAGGAGCCAGCTTCATCCTTTTACTATCCTATGGTGAAACATGTTGAACCTTGAATAAAAATGCCTACAGTTAACATAAATGCCTACTTTACATACATACATGAAATTGCCATACTATAAAATTGGAGGCAGCAGACAGTTCCTTTACTGCTATGCCAGCATGCATTTCCATCCAACCTGCCACCAACTGTAACATTCTTATGCTGTTTTGTGTTTTTATTCTTATTGTATTGTTAACGTATTTTATTTTGCACTCTGGTTTCTGACTGCAATAAACTCCGTCTTTCCCTCAATTATGGCAATTGAGCGCAGTTTTGAATGCATTTGAGTGCTGAAGATTTTTTAAAAAGCTGACCTCATCTTATATAGGCCTCTACTGAAGTGATAATTACAAGTTATGATAATTTTTGTTCAGTTTGCAGAGACACAGGAGTCAGGCTTCTGAGGATGGGAGTAATGGATCCTTGCCTCTTTCTAAGAACAGCTGTGGATGTTACAATCTCTTGCAATAGGAAAATGTTAATTATGTCTTGCACCAAGTACTAAATTCTACTGAATTTCCCCAGTTTTGAGAGAGAATCCTTTCTCTCTCTTTGCTTTCTTAATCCCATTCTTAATTTTTTCTATGTACAAATGAAAAGAAGCCACTTTTCATTGAAAAGATAAAGTATCTGAGGAGGAATATAACAGAAACCATTAAAACACTTCAATCCTACATATTATTAGTTTTGATCAAACTACTTATTATATCCCTTTCAAGAATAATAGATTTGGTAAAATAACAAGATATGTATATATTTAGAGCAGGTCAATTTGAGTGTGTTCAGAAAAAAAAATCACAGGATTTTTGTAACATTTGCTGGACCTTCCTTTGAGTGAAAATAGACCAAACCTTTGATTATTGAGCGGATTGGAACTGTAATAAGCAGTAAAATGGCTGAACACCTCACTGTAATAAGCAGTAAAATGGCTGATTCCTAAATACAAGTAATCCTGGATGTATGACCACAATTGAACCAAAAATGTATGTTGATAAGTGAGGCGTTTGTTAAGTGAGTTTTGCCCCATTTTACAGCCTTGCTTGTCACAGATGTTAAGTGAATTATTGCGGTTGTTAAATCAGTTGCACGGTTGTTAAGTGAATCTGGCTTCCCCATTGACTTTGGTTGTCAAAAGACAAAAAGTGATCATGTGACCCCGGGATGCTGCAATGGTCATAAGTATGAGTCAGTTGATAAGCGGCTGTATTTTGATCACATGACCCTGGGGAAGATGCAGCGGTCGTAAGTGTGAAAAGTAATTGACTTTGAATTGTCATTGAATGAACTAAGTCGAGAACTACTTGTGACCCTTATTTGAATCACCATCACTTTGGGGTAGAGTTGAGTTTACCTCTTTTGCTATCATACAGTGGAAAGTGCGATATTCTATAGAGATGTCAGTGTTTCACATTTATGAAATGTCTTCTTCAATATAACAGGCTAATACTAATATTGATTTCGATTTAGTACCAAATGAAGGGTGATTTATTCAGCTGATTTCTGAGTCTCACTGATTCCAGCTCAGCCTCTATTTGTTTTTACAGCTTATACTTAGGGATACTTGCATTGTTTTTATTACTCTAAAATTATCTATATATATTTTGCAATAGTGGTGAATATCTGTAGCTTGGGTATAGGATGAGGGTGAAGGTTCGTTCTCCAAGCTTGTTACCAGGCTAGGGAACATCTTCAGTGGAGTTTAGGGGATGTCAGTTCTTCTTTATAAGAACAACTCTTCCCCCTCATACATATTTTGCTTCAGTTAACAGACTTATAAAGAAAGTTTGTACATTCAAGTTTGTACATTAACTGCTTTAGTTAGATTCTCTCAGCTTCCCCAATAGTGAGGCTTGTCAATGCATGTACATAATGATGCAGTAGATTTTATTGTTTATATATGCAAGAAGGTAGTTGAAATCACATGCTCAAAATTCAAGTAGAAAACTAGCTGATCAGAGCAGTGCATTGGACTATTCTGTTTGTTCCTATTTTTTCTTATAGCCAACAGCCTGCAACAGGAACTTCTACCCTATATTGGAAGCAATGAAGTTCTGAACTAACTTATTGCCTTCAGAAAAATGCTGATTTCTCTCCTTGATTTTCTGTTAAAAAAACTAATGTGATGGGATCTGATGTCCATGACATGCTAAAGGATACATGTTGTTTTTCTTTTTCCAGATCACCAGAAGTTAGAGCGAGAAGCTCGCATCTGCCGTCTCCTGAAGCATTCCAACATTGGTAAATATTGTTTGGTTAAGATGGAAATGTAGAAGGGGAAGGGATGGGATGGTGTACATGGTGAACATGAAGATTGTCTGTATTTCTTAACTTTGGAAAGTTTAAAATGTGAGAATTTCAACTCTTAAAATTCTGGGAAGTCCATGCCTCTTAAAGTTGCCGAACAATAACACAGTTTAGATTGAATATTATTAAAAATTGTCAGCCTTCAAGATTTTCTTCCTTTGCTTTGCATCTTTCGGCTGTCATAAGTAACGGGGAGGAGGGGGGATATGGTTATGGGAAGCGAGCTGGAGGTGTTACAAAACAGAACTGTATAAGTTGGGGGGGGAAGTTCTTGCTTAGGCTTCTATCCTATGCTATGCGCAGCCCCAACTCTTTATTGAAATATGTCAAGGTTAACGGACAAGAGGCCTCATCACCACCTGGAGATGCCCACATGATGATATATACAACTTTTAATTGGATGAGCCAATTGAACTATTGGGGGTGGGAACATTGCCATCACTTTGTATATGTGATTTACGCGCTCATTTTCTCAGATTCAGAATTCTTTTGTTGCTACCACTTAATTTCCAGTAAAAGATATCTTTTCTCTAATTAATGGAGTCTTAAGTATTTCTTTCTTAGATTTTGAATGGAGCACCAGCTGACAAAAATATTCTGAATACTCTTCCAGTAAAACCAGTAAAAACTTTGCAGGACATTTTCTCTGCCATCTCTTTAAGTACTGGGAAGGAGAGAAAAGTGTGTCAGTTTTTTTTTTAAAAAAAGAACTGATTGATGGTGATTTTTTTCTTACATTTTTGACTTTTCTACATAAATATAAATTCTAACGTGATACTACAGTGCCTTTACTTGAGAATTTTACACTGATACTGTTTGGCTTTATGGAACCCTGTCTTGGACAGCTGACCCAGTTGGTTTCTTTTTTAAATCCTGGTAAGATGGACCATATTTTGCCCTTTTTCACTTCTGCTGGCTCCAGATTTGTTTCTGATTTAAAATCAGGGTGCAGACTTTAAATCCAGAAATGTGTAGGAGTAACTGAAGTTCATACCCCTGGCAAGGACTCAATTTGGAGGAGGCTGAATGCTTCCCAAAAGGAAAGTGGGATGAGGTTGTTCTTTACTGATCTCTTGGGGGCTGTGTGTGTGTGTGTGTGTGTGGGGGGGGGGGAGAAAGAGAGAGAGGGAGAGAGAGAATCTGCTATAATAATGTTATTTAACATGCTATTTACTTTTCATTTCTTGGTTACATACACTTAAAGATGGTTTGATTTTAGTATATGATACAAAGCTTATTGTACAAACAAGGTTTAGCATATACCAAGAGTAATTTATACTTTAGAGTAAATGTGAAATTAGGATGAGTTTAAAATGTAGTCTTCAGATCAATCCACAACTGTCACCCAAATATGTGCATTATTTATTCTCAAGATCTCAGTCCTTGATCAACATGCATGGGTCAGCTTTGGAAGCCATATTAGCACTAGAAGCTTCCACGCTGCCACGTTCTTGAGCATGGGAAGATGGGAGGGGGGATTTTATGGAGCGTATGTGATGAGACATAATAGCATTCTTCTTTAGAATCAAGGTCACATTATTCCTGCACCTGGCCGAGGAGTGGTTGAGGGGATGTCTCAAGTTGGGATGGATGGTGATGGGGCATCCCATCAACCACTCCTCAGCCAGGTGCAGGGATTGAGGTTTTCTGGAACTCTGACAGCATGAATGTTTGGCTTCCCACTTCACTCCTCTCCATTCAGGACAATAATTTCACCTTTGTATCACTTTGCATGATTTTAAGGCTTTTCAGGAAACCATTCCTACCAAACTTCATGAAATTGAAATTTAGACTTACTCTTATGATATTGAATAGTTATTGTGAAATCCTAATAGAGCTTCCCATCTTTTTATCTCCCATGGTTGTTTGAAAAATATCCTGTAAATCGAATGAATGCCAATGGTGTCTCTTCTTCTGCTTTATTTTGAAGAAAAGTGGACTATAAATGCAAAGAGGGAGTTCCACAATTGTAATTATGAAAGGTGGGCGTGCATTTTTTGCTTGAACAGGTCCATCTGCCCCCTTTGTTCCCAGTGCTGCATGGAGCCACCTTTAAAGACTTTTGCAAATCCATGGCAGTTGCTAATGACAACAAGGTTGGTAGAAGACGAGCTTCCAGGAAGCATCATCTCAACCAGGTCTCTCTCCATCTCAACCAAGTAGGCAATTAAAACTGAACTCCCTGCTTGTTGTAATGGACTCAGCGTGTTTATGCTAGTTATTCTGTTTTAATCCTTATGGGGCTTCTCTTCCCCCCTCCCCCCAATGCATTAGTTTCTATGGAAACTGTGTCGTCATGGGTATCTTCTGGGTAGATTTAGAGACAGCCACAAGTGCAAAAGAAAAAGAAATGTTGTTGTATAATGAAATTGAAATAAATGCACTTCAGCTTCAGTGATCTTAGAAAGATATAGGAGACCGGTACAGGAGCAGAAGATTTGTAGGTCCAGAAAGTTGATTGGGTTGGGTTGCATGAAGCTGTCAGATGGTTTGCTTGGTTTTGACTGCATGCAATCTGTGAAGCAGCCTTGATATCTGTGAACATCCGTTTAGGGCTTAGGACAACGTCCAATTTTGGTTTACTCAGCAAATCAGGGATTTGCTTTGATTGACGGAAATGCCCAGTCTTGCTCCTGGTATGTAATGTAAGCCCTTTAGGCTTTGAAGCTGAATTTCCTCTGAGAGTTTTAAGGAAGTTAGATGTTCATCATCAGGAAAGGTGAGGAGACATTAATCAAATCAGGTCCATTAATCTTATTTCATTCAGAAATAGTGAAATTAGATAGGTGGCAATTATCCCCTGAACTGCAACAGGCACCCCATTGACTGGATAGGAGCCATAGTCCCTATGAATGATATAATATGAAAAATGGAATGCCTTATGTTTTCCATTAATTGCAAAATCTTGTTCCTCTGAGATCTACCCCAATCTTTTTCCTTTGCTGTGCAGTACATTTCTCTTCATTAGTTGAAAAGTTTTGTATCATATTCAATCTTCTGTACATTTGGCTTCATAATATAAGTTGTAGCAATGCAGGTGGACCTGGCCATTGGAAGTGAATGCATTATCCATAATAATCCCTGCTTTTTTGAGAGGCAACTGGACTTTCTTTGTTTTTCCTTGAAGACATTTTGCTTCTCACCCAAGAAGCTTCATCAGTTCTGACTGAATGGTGGAGAATGGAAATATTTACATTTCTTGCGGTCATTTGGTCATTAGCACTCTTTCTGAGAAGTCATTGAGGCCACTCAGAGGTTTATTTGTGCCCTCAGGGTCACCTGAATAATTTATCTGTGCCCCTGAGGGATAAACCTCTTAAGTAGCCTCAATGACTCTCAGAAAGAGTGCTAACGACCAAGTGATTGCAAAGAATATAAACCCTTCCATCCTCCACCATTTAGTCAGAACAGATGAAGAAGTTTCTTGAATGAGAAGCAAACCGTTTTCAAGGAAAAACAAAGAAAGTCCAGTTGCCTCTTGAAAAAAGCACCATCGGACAACCATGACCTGGATGACTGTGAATCACCATAGACATTATCCATAATATATCTGAGAACAGATCAGCAGTTGAAATCAGAATCCCTTCCTCCATGTAGCTAAACCTGTATCTTACAAGCTTGGCCCTGTTTTTGTGTTTTCTGCTAGCCATTTTCTCTTAACTGCAAAACTTTCTAAGGTATCAGCATCTCTTCCAACTCTTCCCCACCCCTCCTTTTCAATTTAATTAACCTCCTTTTAGCAAGGAATAATATATCTCTCCCAAAGCCGCGTAGCAGAAGCAAAATTCTGAAAGGCATATTTTCCCTCAGTTCTTCAGAGAAAGAATCATGTTCCTTTTCACTGCTCTTATTTCCCTACACCAATTCTTGGCAGCCAAATTAAATCTTCTCCCCTTGGTTTTTGGCAGCATTGGGGTGCTTTAGCCTGAAGTGGTGTTTTTAGAAAAGGAGATGAGTGTGTACACAACACTAAGCAAGCTTAACATTAACTATAGGTAAGAAAAGACTTGGTTTGTCTCAAAGACCGTAACATGTAAACATTGCCAACAGCAGCCTGCTACCATTATTACTGTCTATTTGTTTACTTTAAAAAACAAATGTATATACATCATGGTCTAAGTGGAACTAAGATGTGCAGGGTGGAGAAAGACTTCCCAAATCCTTTAGGTTTGTATTAATAGAGGGATAGAATCAAGATCACATGAATTGTTAATAGCACTTTATAATGCTCTGGCAAGACCACATTTGGAATACTGCACCCAGTTTTGGTCACCATGATATAAAAAAGTTGTTGAGACTCTAGAAAGATTTCAGAGAAGAGCAGCAAAGATGATTAAGGGACTGGAGGCTAAAACGTATGAACAGTTGCAGGAACTGGGTATGTGTAGTCTAACAAAGGGAAGGACTAGGGGTGACATGGTTGCAATCTTCCAATATCTAAGAGGTTGCCACAAAGAAGAGAGGGTCAACTTACTCTCCAAAGCACCTGAAGGCGGGATAAAGGATGGAAACTTATCAAAGAGAGGTTCAACTTAGAATTAAGGAGAAATTTCCTGACAGTGAAAACTATTAATAAGTGGAATGGCTTGTCTCCAGAAGTTGTAGGTGTTCCATCATTAGGGGTTTTTAAGAAGAGATTGGACAGTCATTTATCTGAAATGGCATAGGGTCTCCTGCAGGAGGATGGGATTGGATTAGAAGACCTCCAAGCAGGGGTGGGATTCTACCAGTTCGCACCTATTCGCTAGAACCGATTGTTAACATTCTAAGCAGTTCGGAGAACCGGTTGTTAGAAGAAATTACTGGCCTAATCCTGTAAGGAAGGCAGGAAGGAAACATACTGGTGTTGCTTACAGAAACTGCCTCTCTGTTAACCCTTGCTACATTCTTGGCAGGACTAGACTTCCTGTCTCAGGAACTTCTCTGGAGTTTTT